AGGCCTGCTTGCGGGGCTTTTCTTCGCAATCACCGGGCTTTGCACTGGTGTCTTCCAAACACTGTGAGGGCCGCAGACACCCGCAGCACGCCGCATGTCTGCATGTGGTGCCACATCGCCTGAGGCGAGGCGTGGCGGCGACGCCACGAGCCATTTGCATGGAAGCGAGCTGAGCCGTCGCTGAGAGTCGCGGCCAGAAGCGACCCCGTTTCACCTTAGCACCCTTGGCTTGGCCTCTTGCTGTGCTCCGCCGCCCAGGCCGGGCGCGGCTGGCGCTGGGACGCTCAGAGTGGCACATGGACAGAGCCCAAGGCTATGCGACAGCTGCACTTCTTTCAGTTGTTGATGATCGTGCTAAGCCTGCAGGCCAAGAACAGTCCAGCCAGGCATCCACCACACAGCGAAGCTCAGCTTACCTCTATGACACGGAACCTATGTCCCTGTTCCAGCACCGTACACTGATCAGACCTCCCTACCTAGTTACCAACCTACCCACCCACCTGCATATCACAACACAAGTCCTGATCGCTGCAAGGTGACAAAAAATGATTTCATTATGCTGGTGAAATTTCTGCCGCCTGGGCAGGCTTACTCGCTTCTAGAGGAAGCAGACGAGGTACTCGTGGAGGATGGCTCGGCGCCAAGAAACGGTTTGGGGCTCCCGGCCTCCTGTCCGACTCCAGGTGAGCCGAGCGAAACAGCCGAACGGAAAGAGCGCACACGACCCACACGTGTGGCCTGCCTCCCGGAATCAGAGTGGCACAGCAGCTGGCACGTCCGTATACATGAGGCAGACACCTTCTACTACGACCAGGCAGGCTGCTGAAGAACAAGCCATCACTGATTTGAGTCCTCACCGTCAGAGCTTCGAATCTGCCAGCATTGCATGCATTGCACCCTCTCAGCTTGGTGTGGCGATCGATGCCTCGCAGCAAGAAATCCGACGGGCCTATTTCCAGAGATCGAGGCACTGCAGGGTGCCGCTGCCTATATCCGCTTTTGAAAAGACTTCGCTACAAGCAGGCAGTGTCATCCAGACAAGACATCAGAGGAGAATGCCAAGGCTCGGGCTTGCTGCGGCTCAGCCGTCCAGCGCGGCACAACCGTGGCTCGGGATTCACTGCGCTCTGGAGGAGCGCTTCCAGAGCATCTCCGAAGCGCAGGGCGCCCGGAGCGACAACGTATGGGTGAAGTGCTCCTCTCGTAGCCTAGCTCTAGCGGCTCCAGCGGCGAGGGATTGGCGATGTTTGTGTTCAGTGTGGCTGCTCCAAGGTATCAGGTGCTTTCCGACAAGCAGAGGCGTCGAAACTACGACCTGCATGGCAGAGACGGCAAGGGGGAAGGCTTCATCGACGCCAAGGTTCGGGCGGCGCAAGCTTGCAGAGCGTGGATGTGTCGATTTGATGGTGGTCTTAGCTCGTGTGAGATTGCTGGAGGTGTTCTTTGACGTCTTGCTGGGAGCCGATGCTTTGGCACCCTATGTCGGTCGCCTCAGGCCCGTGACACCCAGCCTTCTTGTGAGAGATCTCCGGCGTGAAGCGGCAGGATCACAGAGGTGTTGGGTCAGGACTGTGGGGAGAAGGGAGAAGTGTTTTCTTGAGGCTCCTTGCGAGTCGCTGGCATTTGTTATAAGCCCAAGCCCAGGGCTCAAGCCCAAGCCATGGGCAGAGGCAAAGCAGAAGCCACCATATCCGCATGTCGGAACGTGCCGCGATGGATGTCGGACTTGGGCCCAAGCCTTGGCAGCGCCCGTTGCGGGACGTCCCGGGCGGCCCGTTGCGGCTCCTCGCGCCTTCGCTGCTCCTTTCGCTCGGGCTTTCCCTCCTCTCCGCAGTGGAGGGGAAAGTTTGGGGCTCCTCAAACGCGGGCTCGGGCTCGGAGCCGAGCGGAAGCGGCGAACTCTACGCCTTCCTGGACTGCCACTCGTCGGACTCGCTAGAGATAGAGATAGAGCCAGAGAGAGCGAAAGTTTCGAGTTCTCTGGCAACTTTCTCCTCCAAAGCCTCCTAACATACCCTGGTGACCAGAAGAAGAGGAAGAGAGTCCAACAGCGCATCCATGGTGTCCGTGGACAGGTGAGGGCCATCCGGAGTGGAGCAGCTTCCGGCGTCAGCTCTCGGCCGAGGAGACAGGGACTGCTGAAGCAGTGGCAAAGACTGCAGACCGTCTACTCACAGAGCATTTTCCAGGCTTCTCCACTCATGCTCGTTGCAACCGGGGGGGGGAGGCCAAGCCCATTAAGCCGCCAAGCCGCCGAAAGCAAGAACAGGTCTGGAGGCCACAGCGCTGCGCTTCGTCCTCGCACTTTCCGAGCCCAGAGCCCCACGGAACGGGGAGGACTGCCTCTACGGAGTCTCGGATCCATCCTTAAGCCAGCGCTGCCCAAGCTCCGGTCCCCTTCGCAACGGAAGCGGAATCCTAATTTTAATGTTACGCAGCATGCCAAGCCCGCTCCATAATGCAAATTGAGCTCCAACAGAGCCGAAGAGCCACGAGCGATGTCGGGGGGGGGTGGGTGGGCGAATGTTGCAAAGGGTTGTTGCTGAAGCCGAGGAGTGGTGGCTGCTCTCCACGTTCGCGGCCGTGCGCTCCACGCCTCAGGACGCAGGGGCGAATTTCTTAGTTCTTGCTGGCTTCTGGGGCTCTCCAGGGCCACGCGACGCGCAGGTGCCCTGGAGGCCGCCCTGGCCGACTGGGACTTGGCCCTCCGCCTGCTGGGCAAGGCCTTATGAGTGCATGCACAGCACAGCACCTTCTGGTGCCCTTTGCCAGGGGCCTCCCCAATCTGTGCGGGAGGAGCTAGGCCTGGACTTCCTGGAGTCCACACATTGGCCCCTTCGCTCTGGAGAGCTCCTGGAGGAGATCAGGCTTTCAAAGCAGGCGCTTGAAGACGACTCGGAGATCTGATCTGAGATGTGCGTGTTAAGTGTTTTCTGCTCGTTTTCTTCAGGGAGCACGGGGGAGACTGCGACAGCGATGGCAGGCGAGGCCGCTTCGGCGACGACGCTTGGACTGCGTGGCCCACTGCGTGGCCTCCTCTCTTTCTCTCCGCGGCTCTGAGAGGTGTGCCTGGACAAGGGCCCTGGGCTCTCGATCCGCTCCAAAGCTTGGATCGGCGACTTCGAAGGAAGAGACAACCCTCACTTTCCCCCGAGAGAGAGAGAGAGTCTTTCTTCGGCTTCCGAGGTCGCTCTGGGCACGGCTCCCTGCCGAGGCCGAGGCGAGAGAAACAGCGTTCTGCCCGCTCCGCTATGGAGCGCAGCTCTCTGTTCAGGTGATATCCTTCGGCTCCGCGCCGGGGTCCTCCGCTCAGAGGCTGTCGAAGGCTGGGAAGCTGTCGGTGCTGGTCTACGGCTACCATCCTGTTCTCATCGAGCCCATCTCGGCGCTCTTGCAGTTCGAGGCACATGTGCGCACTGCAATGCGGCAACGCGCGCGCCCGCGCCCCCGCTTGCCCCTTTCCGCCCGTTGCGCACTGGGCAACTGTGAAGGACTACGCTGAACGAATTCAGCTGAATTGGTGTGCCTGGGCCAGGGGTTCGGTGCTGTTTTCGGGGAGTATATATAATATGCCGCTCGCAGGTACGGCATCAGCGAACGGGACTGCAGCTTCTTCGCGCCGCTCTGCGATGCGGAAAGGACGCGCATGGAAGCGAGGAGGCCGGTCCCTGCCGGGCTCCGCTGGAAAGTCTACGAAAGCGATTGGGATGAGGAGGAGGTCTTGGCGGCTTACGAGAAGTTTTGGGAAGCCGAGCGGCAAGCCGAGGCGTCTGCGAGAGCAGATCTGGTTCTTGCCATGGAACTCCGGGACGCCTACTTCCTGTGGCGAGTATGTGAAGCTGCCACGATCTACTACGCAGCCCTCATCTTCTTACAGGACGAGGCGATGAGCGATTATGCTGCGGAAGTCTACTTGCGGCACTTCGATGCTTTCCGACAGAATGATGTGCTCAACCACCTCAAGCTTCAGGGCCGGCTGGGGCTGGGGCCCAACCCCAACTCTCTCCCAAAGCCTCCCACCGCAATGGTGGCGCAGTCGCCCTACATTGCCGCCAGCATCCAGTATCACACCAATCAGACACTGCCTTGCGTCCGGCCTTTGGCCCTCTACGTCGGAGCAAACCGCTATGCTCCAAACCGCTCGGAAGTTTCGCTGCTGGTGCTCTGTGCCAGGCCAGGCGCACGAAGAGAGAGAGTGAGTGAGTGTGAGTGAGCGAGCAAGCGAGCGAGTGAGCCAGTGAGTGTCTGTCTGTCTGTCTGTCTTCTGTCTGTGTGTGTGTGTGTGTGTGTTTGTGTGTGTGTGTGTTTGTGTGTATGTGTTATCCTGCTGTACATGCGATGTTTTGCATTCCATGAAGGGTCTCGTTCATGTTTGCTTTTATTTCTCAATTTTGTCATGAAAGAGTTTCAGTGAAGTTTATTTATCGTGCAGGGGGCGTGGCGGTCACATCCTAGCCACGCCAACGAAGCTACGGATGTTGACTGGATGGGCTCACACACGTGTGAGCCTGTACCTGGGAAAAACGGGGGCCCCTGAGCCAGCGAGATTAGCAAAACTGTTTCTTTCGAACAAGGCAGGTTTGCAGGTTTGACCATGCTTTTGCCTGTTTTGAAGCTTCGTACGGTTGCTGCAATCTGTTTGAGCATATCCATGAGAGCCTCTGCATTGGACGATCATGCACTGTATTAGCGACTTTATGTCGCCCTCCACATCAAGAAGGCGGGTCAGTAGGAGACATTTCAATTGTGTTCGACAAGAGCTCCCTCATGAGGGCCTTGTCGCTTTTCGGCGAAGTTGCCGGCCCACCGGGGTGCTTGTGTTAGCAGGTCTGGAAATCAGGTAGGATGGCGACAGCTTTTGCTGCGCAAACATGTCCAAGGGGAAATCATTGTGTGGAGATCAGCCTTTTGGAATTCACAGTGGAGATCATAGTGGACATCACAGTGGAGATCACTTGCACAAAGCTGCCATGGATCGTGAACCAAGCCCCCGTCGCAATCCCTATTGGAGCTCCTCCACCCCAGCTGTGGTTCCATCTCCTCCTACGAGTTGGCAAAATCCCGTTCCCCCTCCGGCCCTACCCCTGACCCGCCCGATGGTGCTTCAGCCGCAGAATCTCACGTGGCAGCCCAATCCCCGTGCTGCCCAGATTATGAACATTTCGCCAACCCCTCGCATTCCAGGACTGCCATCCCAACCTGATGCCAAGTCACCTAAAGTCTTCGGACCTATGCTACCCGCTGAGTTCTGCCAGAATCCGAATTATTTGGATTCACGCTCTATTGCAGGCTTGAACCTTGCTCGTTGGGTTAAGAAGACCTGAGTGGTCGGTTCGAAAGCAGATTGACGGATGCCCGACACACATGGTACCGATTCATTCATTGCTTTATCAAGGTTGGAATTCATATTGGATTCGTCACATTGCTGAAGGAAAGCCGACATTCTTCGCAGGCTTCAAATCTATTGCGGAGATCGTATTCTGTCATGCATTGTTCGGAAAATTGCGAGATGAGGAAGTCGACTTGGATGAGCTTGCTTCCATTGTGCAGAGTACCAGTGACCCTGCTTCGAAGAGTGGTGCTTCGGACTCCAAATCGCAGGCCACACATCTGTTGGCACAGAAGGTTGTTGACTACATGTTAGGTCTGTATCCTCAGGCTTCAGTTGACACGGAGAAGGCAGCCGTGGCGAATCAGATTCAGATGCTCCAACAACAACTTGCGAGCTTTGAGAATGCTTCCCCCTCCCGCACTTCCAACCAGGCTACCGCAGAACAGAAAGGGCTGCCGATTGAGGAAAGCCCCCCCGGACCAGTGTCAGAGTCAACAGCTTCTGTTCAAAAAGTTCCTGATGGCACGACTCGTCCGTCTTCTTCGTGGCCAGACGGCTGAGCCAAAAAGCAATCTTATGCAGGCCTTCCAGAAAGGCAAACCATCCGGGAGCCAGGCGGAACCGTTGAATATTGAGAATGGGGAGGTTGAGACGCAAGGTCGCAGTCCAGGAAGTGCTCAGTTTGAGTACGGCACGTCATCGCATGTTGGACAGGTTGTAAAGAGTGTTCTCACGGATGTGTCCAAACGTCACTTCTTGACACGTGGTTGGAAAACTTGCAAGTCGGACAAAGAAGTATCGGCATGGATTGAAGGATTGACCTTGAGCAAAAACAACCGCAAGAAGTTGGAGACATGGACAGCCCATGTCCAACGATGGCATGCGGACCTTCCTTCCAATGAACAGGCCGAATTGGATCAGGTTGTTGCCAACTGGGACATCCCCATTCGTGATGTTGCCAATCAGGCTCACTGCTGCGTATTTTAGCTGTCGGAACAGTTCTTGTGGCTTGACTACAAGCCACACTGGATGACAGGGACAGATATAGCAGCGGAAATCCACCACAGGGATGGTGGCGAAAGCACCGAAGTGACGTGGACTTGCTTCGGAATGCTCATCTCTTTTTCCAGAGTGTCTACGAGACACCCACCATGTTCGGACAACAATGGATGGACATTGTCATTTGGGTCCGTGGAAAGCTCCCTTTGCTGGCATGTGAGTTCGGGCTTGTGCAGTCGCCGTTGACCACCCAGCTTCGTTTACCCGATGGATGATATTCGCCTTTTTTTGCAGAAAGCTTGGGACCTGCATTTGAGGCATGTCGGAACTCATTGGACGGTTGATACAGTTCGAGAGTTGAAAAAATGGACCAAGGGACTGGTGTGGCATGTCCGGGATCATGAAGGCTCTCATGCACATGTGACTGGAAAGGGGGAAGGCCGATCGTGAGTTTTGCATCTCACCCGGCTCGCCAGTTCTTGGTAGTGATGGCAAAGGTTACTGAGATGCTTGTTGCTGAAGTCTGTCCCCATACGAGATCCTACAACGATGCAATCTTGTTGTGGCAGAATATACATGCCTTCTTTGAAAACAGTTGCCATGGTCTTGAGGACGGTCGACGGACAATTGCTATGCACAATCAAGATTTGTCAGGCTTTTTTGTGAGCATTCCGAGGGAACGGTTTCTGATCACCTTCCGTATTCTACTTTGTCGCTTCTACGACGTGGTGGACGAAGACTTGGACGAAGCCTTGAAAGGTGTTGTAGTGACCGTGGACTTGGAAAACAACTTGTCTGTTATGAAAACTATTCGTGGTCGGCACTGTTTGTTGCATGACAAGAGGACGGCCGTCCCCATGGAGTTATTCATGGAAGCTGTGCAAGTGTCGTTCAAGTTCAACCTATTTGTGGTAGGACAGCAGGCCATTCAACAGATCAGAGGGGCGCCGATGGGGAGCCATTTCTCCCCCGCAGCCTGTCATGCTGTGGTGAGCTTGTATGAGCATATGTACTTCGGGAAATGTCTTCTTGAGTCCGCTCGCTTGCCAACGTATGGCCTCGTCGTTAGATACGTGGATAATCGGCTGAGCTTGATCTTTGATCGAAACGCCAGTTCCGTTGCTGTGCAAGCCTTTCTGCATCAGGATGTGTATATACCGCCCATCGTATTAGAGTATGAAGATGGGAACCTCTTCTTGGGTTTCCGTGTGGACATACAACAGCTACGAGTGCAGTATGTTCAACCCACTGAATCCTGGAAGTTTCTGCACTTCAAATCTGCGGCCAACACAAGGACATTGTTGAGCAGTTTTCGATCCAGAGCCCATTTGATTGCTCGTGCGTCCTGGCCACTGGAACAACGTGAAGCCGATCTCGATCAGCTTTTGCAGTCCTATTTGAAGCATGGATTTGATCCGACATTGATGTCCCCCATCCTGAGACATGTTAGGTGCCAGTTCAACAATCGTGCTCGCTCGACTGTCGCATAAATAAGCTCCTGCACATGCGGTTTGATTTGTCTGCAATTTGCGGGAGTGCATGTTCCATTGAGTCTTCTGCATGTTCTGTAGCTCGTGCTCGAAAGCTTGGTGTCTTCCTCCATTTGTAGCATTCCGCTTTCCTGACGATGCCTACGGATGACAACCTAAATCGGTTCCCGAAGTCTTCGGGACCTCCAGGTCCTGTCAGTGGTTCTATGGAAATGTATATTCGACGAAGAGTTGCCCAAGAGGTGACCCGAGCTCTTGCACCGCCTGACACGCTGCCAGAATGGGCACGGCCTACCGGAAGCGCTTCTGGAGGCCTTCGAGCTCTTCCTTCCTCTTCTTGCACTCCTTCACTCCCTCAGGAACCTGTGAATGCGGCAATACCCCGGGCTCCTCCTCCCGCACCTTTTTTTGACACTCACTGAAGGTAGTGGATCTACGGCTCAGTCTATTCACATCCATCATGAGGGGATGGCAAATCGGGTCATTGAAAGCTTGTCTTCTCGTATGTTCGGCAGTCGTCCTGAACGCCGGGACGCCAGGTCTCTCCCGAGACGTCGTCAACAGATTGATGATCAGCCGGCATCTTCCGCTCTGCAAAGCTCGCCATTGCTGATGCAAACTCTGACAAGTATGTTATTCCGGAAGGTCCGGAAATTCCTGCACCCTCGGATGAATGGGTGTATATTGAGCCCAGTTCCGGACAGCCGCTCTAGGTACAATTTCTTGAGACTTCGCATATGTTGGATCACCTTCTGCTGTATTAAAACAGTGGCAGGTATGAATATGTACGGCTTCGACCCAACTGTCTCCGGGAAGGATAAGAAAAAGTAATGGTATGATCTCGAACGATTGCTGCTCCATTTCCGGTCGGCTATTATGAAGGACACCAATCGAATCAAAAGTGCAGCTGAAGTCGTTGTTCCCGTCTTGCCGGCCGGATCTTATGATCTCCAGGAGAGATGGATAGCTGCCATCCTGGCAGGAGCCGATCATCATGCCAACTTCTCTTGGTCTGATGCCAGTGGTTACTTTGCCATGGGACCGGATGCCAAAAAGCAGATTCAGAATCTTGCTCGTGCTTTGTCCTCGGTCTCTCGTCTTCGTCCGTTCGTTCGACAAGATCTTCAGGCCGGTCGTGGGTCGTACTGGCTGTTCCCGAGCAACACGGATCCAGACACGGGACGTGCAGATTCTGGAACTCATGAAGCTCCGCAGGGAGTTTTTCTTATTTTGACGACGATGCTTCCGGATGACCCGGGTACCTGCTTTGCTGTGCCCTTTGTGCATAACACCGTCCCTCAGGATTTGTCGTCGATTGTCAATCAGGAGGTTATTCGGCCATCATATTTTGA